CCACATAAAGGGGTTTCGGTGAAATTTTGGAGTTTCTTATGTCAGATGCATACCTTGGGTATACAGGAAGTGTCAATGATGGCCTACATTTGCTGAGAATTCCCGATAACTTTGGAACCTTTTTGCAGGCCTACTTAAACTGAGGGGACTGGTGGTATTTGGTCCATTTGTGGAAGGTGAAGATCCTTGGGCCTTTAACCAATTAAACTTTTACTAGAAAAACCTTTTTGAATAGCATTCCTTCGGACAAGACGTGCATGGAGAAAAATGTTATTCTAAACTCAAGAAGAAAGTAACATTGTTGAGCTAAAGGATCAGCATTCCAAACGAAATCCCAAAATAAGTTGAGGGTAGAACAAATAATCTTTTTTCGATTCATGCCCTAGCCTGTAGATGAATACCTCATTACTTATTTAAGGTCAAATGAAAATAAAAGTTAAATTCTATTAATGAACGCGAGAGTGTACCGAATAGACTTCTTTCATCGGCCTAGACTCTTGATGGCCTCTTACGTGAACTATACATCTGAAATCCTAATCACGAGTTTCGAAAGAGATTGCATGGCTTCCACCATTTGTAGAATAAGCACAGTTCCCTTATTTACTTCTTTAGTTAAAAAAGCCCAAGCACCTAAAAATCACTCTCATATAAAGGCACATTCGGATATGTGCTGAAAGCAATGATATAATTACATCATCTATTGTAAATAAACTAGGTATAATGTCCTTCTCGCCATGAATCGGCGCTTGGTTATAGATACTTTATCGTATTTCTAATCCAAGTAAGGCCATTCGATACAAACTCGGAGTAGTTTCTCAAGCATGCAGGTGCTCCTTTGCAACTAGCGCTTTAGTATGATTATCACTTGACTGACATAAATCTGTCTAAATATAAATAAATAAATAGCATATGTTGAGATAGGAAATACTTTCCTGGACTTGTCTGTCAGCAGTGGTCGACAAACAAACTTACAGATTGGTTGAAATTTGAGCTAGAAATTGATCGGCTAAAATATAAATAAATAAATAATTTGTAACTTTCCTCAGACTCAGTGTGTAAACGAGAAAATATCCTTATTTTAGATATCTACATCTGGCTAATGAACTCATTTATTTTGTGGATAATCATGTTTTTTATGCCTTGGTTGAAAATCTGACTTTAACACTCGATCCGGAGCTAATATTGGTATCATCAATTTATGTGGCTGGTTCATGGACTCAAGCGACAGAATGTCTATGATTCAACTCAGGTGACTTTCTCTGTTGTTTTGTAGGTTTTCTTGAAAAGGGAAGTTAGCCTGTAAATTTATGTGATATTCTAATATGACTGCTGAGTATGATGGAGGCCAAAGATCAAATGACTTAGGGTAGGTTCATGAACAAAGTTGGCTCATTACGAATAGCGAATGTGTGTATATTTTTGTAAAATGAATAAAATATGAAATATTTATGCTCAGTCAACATCGTCGTAATGGTTTATATATGTGGCCGAATTTTTCAGATTTCTTGTAGAAATTTAGGCTTATAAGAATTGACTAGCTTAATTGCAACAAAATAACAATAGAAAATCTCTCTAGCCAAACCCTTATTGTTACTATGCCTATTTTATTTGGGCTTATTATTTGCCTGACAAAATGCGAACTATATAAGATGTATTAACTCTTATTCATACTATTATGGAGACAAAGACCTTGTTGGATCACCTTACTCGAAGTCCTCTGTTATAAAAGTTAGGATAATTCCCATAGTTGGACAGTTGGCTAAGTACATTTCCAGACGTCTCGTCGGCAACGTCAGCACCAAGTTACAGCTCGTCAAAAAGACAAGTAAACTTAACCCCTTAACCTACCTTCTGCCGGGCCGTTGTGTTATTCCTTGATGCTAGAAATAGCCAGACTCATTGGCAATGCTGATTGCGATATCGGTGAAACGTCCTGAAATATACCGAGTCAATTGTCCAAGGCTGGGAATCATTATAGCTAATATAGCAGAGGACTTCGGACAAGGTATATTCAACCACGTCGCCATGACAGCAAGACCAAGTTGCGAAAACAAGATCGCGAAAGAAAACACAACATATTCGACCTCGTAGATGCGAGCTATGTCTATTGAAGAGTGGACAAATTAAGGTCGTACATAATTGCGCGTTGCAATAAGGCCTAAAGGGTGTGAAATCAATTCTTGTTAAAACGTATTCTGGAAAAATTAACGAGAACCCAATAAAAACTGGTTTCAAGAGCTAGATCCTCCGTATACCTTTCCGCGATACTTAGACGTACAGAAAAGTTAAGCTTGGCCGAAATGTTTCTAGGGGAGTCAGGAGTTATTTTGCTTGTGAGACAGAAAGGATCTCTATTGAAGAGAAACTTTCCAACGACACCACTCGGAAGGACTTAGTGCCTGCCACCTTCGAAGTTGTGATAATGGGACTTTATTCCCTGCCCTCTTTCCTTGGTACTAGTCTGCTTGAGATGTTTAGACAGTTGTGCCCGAAAAACCGCCAGCCAAAGTTATGTAAACATAGAAAAATAAATTGGTTTGAGCAACCCATGAGGTAAATTAATTAACTACCTTACATGCAGGTGTGTAAAGGAAATTCCATCCTTTCAAATATGCAACAACTTATAAGATGCCATCCAAAACAAAGAAGCTTATAAAATCGTCCTTCCTCCCAAAATTAGCTGGCACTTACTTAAGAAGAATAACCAAATGGAGCATTTCATATAAGTCGCTTGAATGTTTTCTGTCTAAAAAGAAAAAAAAACAAATTTGGCTTGGCTTGTATCTCATAAAGCATAGATACTACTTGCCACTACTCTTTTCACTTTGATAAGTTGTAACTCTGTCCTGATGATGGCAGCTTTCGCTGACAATTCCGACTACGATGTTGGCAAAACGCTTGGAAATGTACCAAGTCAATAGTCCGATGCTGAAAGTTACGAATAATATGGCAGAGGACACAGTACTAGGTACGTCCCACAAGGTATTCCTGATGCTCCGACCGAGTTACGAAAAAAGTCGAACCACCACCTTAGATACTACCGTTGCATACTGAGATATGAAAGTAACAAGTAGAAAGTTGTGCAAAATGTAACGAAGAGTATCGTCATGGGTCACTTTTATGAAACGAAATCTGGCCTTTAGCCAGTATGGATCTTGAATAGACCACGTAATTTCCTTAATCACTGATTTGAGCAAAGTTTTCTCGCTGAGGCTCGACTAGACACTTACAGTTTCCCTGCGCCTCCAAATCTCTCTCAGTATATGCTCGCCCTTACGCTTAATTAAAGGGACAGAAGATCCCAAGCTGCAAGTTATTTTCAAAGCGATCCAACTTATAATTAAATAAAATGTGTAGACAAAATGAATGGCCAAAAGTATATTGTCTGCGTAGATCATTTCTCTTAGCTATATATTATAGTATTTATGAAAACTTATGAACTTCTTAGTATAACTTTAATTTTTTTCCAATTTGTTTGTAGACCGATACCCTGGCCAGACAAACAAAGTTACCACCTATCGATAGATGCATCATTCATTCAGGCAAGGAGGAAAACATTTATAGTGACGAGTGAGTTTCCACTATAAAGTTTGAGATAGGCAAATACACTACCAAGATTAGCATTTAGTAGTAAAATCTTCCCTTAAAGTCATCTTGACATTACCACCTAATTTGATAAGAATAGATACCGTATTTGTACTCATCATTTTGTGTGTGGCCGCTATAATCCATTTCCAGCGTAAATCAACAAATATTTACAACTTTCATTTACATTAAACAAATTTATTGAAGCAAATGTACATACGATAAAGTTTAATAAATATGGATTCATTTTGGATTTGGAGCATAGAGATTAAAATTAATCGAGGTTCAACGCATAAATAGAGCAAGAGATAATGAAGCAATTTGGAGCAAATATATTTATCTGCATAAAGGAATAAATTACACTAAAGTATGATTTTATTTAATAGACAACTATTAATATCACTTCAATTGTTGTTTCACCCTCCTCCTTCAAAATCAATTAATACTTGCACCAAACGACATCTTACGGTCAAAGCTTTCTCAGAGCCAATTTTATGCACGTAAATGGTACAGTATCTCCTTGTCCTCTCGGCTCCCGCCTATCCTCCCCAAGTGGCAGTGGTATCTGCCCTACGCCCTACGAATCAGGAGGCAAACAAGGCCAGAGTCGTATGGGACCATCTCTGCTTCACTTAGTCAACGGTTATCCCGGTTGCCTCGGCGCCCAACAAGGTGTTCATGCCAATATGATTAACAACACTTCGGGTGGGCCAACATATCAAATGTTCAATGGACTAGGAGCTCGTGGAGTCCAAGGATCTCCCCTCGGTATCTCAGCCGGTTTTGCTAATCGAGCATCTCCACAGACCTGTGGTCTGGCTGGCTCTCAATGTAACGCATCTAATCTGTTGGTAGTCAGCAGTTTTGATAACTTTCACTCTCCTCATGCCTCCAGTTCTTCTGGGAGCAAATGTTCTACCGGCGGACTGATCAGCTTTGGCAACGGTCTCACTGGTGTTGTTTCCACAAGCTCCAACATGCCACTTGTGTATCGGGCCGAAAATGAAGATGTAATCGGTTTGCCGCTTGCCTCGGTCACTGCAATCCATCTGCCTTCGGCGTCAAGTCTGGTTGCGGAGGAACAGAATGGCGGCTTTCTAGCCACATCTGAATTGACCTCAGGGCCAGGTAGCCCATATGCGGCCATTATCACGAGCTCATCTACCTCGAGCTTGCTTAACAGTAACGGCTCCGTCGGATTTCCTCCAAACAGTGGCCCAACAATCTGGGCACCAGGAAACAACGGGTTTTTGCTGCACTCAGGGCCGGTACATCATGGATTGCCACAACGAAATCCCACAGCTCACATGGGACTGGTCGGCTCCGACCTATTGCCGCGACATCAAATGACAGCACTGCTATCTGGAGACGAACTTGCAAGTCGCTCCAGTCAGTCTGCAAACGCAGAATACCTGACAAATGGATCCTGTATACGCATTGGAAACCAGTCCTGTGAAGTGGATGGTCTACCGATAAAAGCGACTCCAACGGCTAGATCAGACACGCCAACTGGGGCGAAATCAGATACAAGATATAATGGGCACCAAACCTGTGAGTCCAAGTGGTCACGAGCCGGCCTGTCTCCGGAAGCATTCATTGTGGAGGAACATGCCACAAATGTGTAGTCGACAGGGCGCTGTTACCAACTTTCTTACAGTATTACTGGTTCCGGTCGAAGCTGATTCAATGATGGAGTCAGGAGGCCAAAATTTGATTGCCTTTTCACATTATAACTGTCTTTCCACAAAACACCTATTTTCACACTATGAGTGTATTCAAAAACACTCATTTGCATTCTGCATAGTACATCACAATCAACATGGTATGTGTTGAGTCTAATGAGAATTAAATCTAGGGAGCTCGGCTAATATGAGACTTTTTCCAGCCGGTGCTCTGGGATTTTGTATTTATTTAAATTTCCAAATGTATTTAGCTTTATTTATTCATTTTAACTGAGCTAATCTTCGCTATTTAGCGCCACGCTGACATTAAATGCATGACAGGACATTTTGAATAGAAGCTGATGCAGGGTCAATGATATCCACCAGGATGAATGCGAAATATTACAGTCGCTTCTGCATTTTGACTTAATATTTCCCTTGCTCGTGTTGTATCTATCTCCAACTTGCTGCCTAGGTATAAAATACTTTCACTTTAATAATTCATGATATGCCTGAATCAGATACGATGTGAAACCCTCAATGCACTGTTTTAATTTTACTTATTTCGTTAAACGCAAATCCAAAACTCAGAACTATTCTTTTTTTGCACATTACTACATTCTGCTGTATATTCGCCTCAGACTCTCTATTGGCTTGCTGGTAATGGAATTTTTGTATAAAGCTGGCAGGTTACTCATTAAATCATTAAATTGCTGAATTCTCTAAGAAGTAAAATGGGCGTTTTTTCGACCTGTTACCACCATACCACATTTCGAAGGGTGGAAATGGATCATGAGCAATACGTAACCATCAAGCAAATCAAGCACTCTACCATATCACAAATATACTGTAAGATCGGTAAAGCAAATATTATGTTACAATCTAGGATGATCTTAATATTCAAATATGCTAGATTTCCATGTTTTAATACAGGCAGCGAAGCCTATTTTAGAATAAATATAAAATTCTTTTTCAGTTATAAAAGTGAGGCAAACTACAGCATTATAGAAAAGATTATTTTCTAACATATTCCGATAAATGAGAGAACAAATGCATGTCTGGGTTCTATTCAAGCTTGAATATAAATCATGTTTCATTTTACGCACATAATTTCATACAGAATAACATTTAAATCAATCAATAGTATTAGGGATAATAAGGAAATCACGCAATTTATTACTTATTTTTCCTATATAAGCAAAGTTTTGAGACTATCAGCGAATCAATTACATGAGATGTATTCACCTTAATTCGTTTAAGGTAATGAAGGACTGGTAGTAGAATTTTACCACAATTATATGAGTAAAGCTGAAGTTTCCATTGAATTTTGCATAGCCTTTCTCTCCCAAAAGTTGTTCTCCTCCAAGGTGGACTGCAGTTTCGACCTCGCTTAGGTCTTATCAACACCCCCAGTGGGATTCAACTATTACAGTGCATAATGGGAGCTTGACACGTTAACCAATCGACCACATTGACAAGTGTGCCCTTAGGTCACAGGGCAGATGTATATTTCAAGGAAGTCCAGGCCATTTGCCATATCATAGTGGGATTGTCGATGAAGCAAACATATATGTGTTATAACAATCGACTACGTTACTTATTTGTCATATGTAAGTAGAGTTTTGAGACTATAGGAAAATCAGTAATATGAGATGTATTCAACCTATTTCGTTTAAGGTGATGAAGGACTGGTAGTAGAATTTTCCCAAAATAATATGAATAAAGCTGAGGTTTCCATTGATTTTCACATAGCCTTGCTTTCCCAAAGGTTTTCTCATCCAGGTTGGCGAACAACCACTACCACTCACAAATGTGATATCGAAAAAAGCTGTCCTTTCTTTAAATTCACATCTGCCTTGTTACACAAAGACACTCGTGAAAATGTGGCAGAGTGTCTAACGTGTCAAGCTCACATACTGCCGTCATG